CTACCTCCTCTACACTGTCTACTGCTACAACTACCTCCTCTACACTGTCTACTGCTACAACTCCCCCTCTACACTGTCTATTTCTAAAACATCCTCTAATGTCTATTTTGGTTGTCTGTTGATATAACTGTTGTCATACTGCTTCAACCTCTATACTGTCTACATATTTGTGTTTTTACTAATTAGTTGTAGCATGCACGCCATTGTATAATTATTACATTGCTAACTCTGCATTGCTAACACTTGCATAATTATTTTTCACCCACCATTATCCTGCCTACCACAACCACCACGACCATCTCCAGCCCTTGACAAAGACGTTTGGTATCATGCAGGTATTATTTTTAATGAATCAATTGTGTTCCATTTTAAGTCCCGATAATATAAAGCATCTAGCAGTGTATCAGATTTAGTTCTTCATTAGCAAAGTTAGTTCTAAGCTACAATATGGGTCTATAGTTATATATACATGCACACACTGTGAAATGCTTAATTAATTAATTTTCACGGCTAGTAATTTTTGCAATTTCATTATTTTAATGGCATATGTAATGAAAAAATTTCGTAAAAGTTGATGACTCCCCATGACATCAGACTCCAGAGAAATTTTCACTGCGAACATTTTTATCTCATGAAATTTTTAATAGTTTTCAATATGTTGATGCAACTTGTATTGGGTTTTGTTAAAATGTTGTTAAATGTCTAATGTTATGTATACCGTAGTAAGAGGGCTCAGAAAAAAAATTAAAATATTTCTGGTCATTTGTTTCTTTAATTAAATGTAGCATTCACTAAATGTGTATTTTTACTTTCATTTTAAAAGTGCCATTAGAATTGTTTGTAATTTGTTTTCCCAAACAATTCTCTGACAAAACCTTAACAAAAAACATGTGACTTGATTGATTCTTGTGGTTAGACACATTATTTTTTTTCTGGGCCTAACAGTTGTATTTACTAATGATTTGAAGTAAAATTCAAAGGATTTGCATGAAAGAAATTATTGCAGTAGACAATCAACTTTAATTGCAACACAGTAGTACATTAGGATTTCCCGAAAGGTTGTTGAGCTAACGTAATTTGTCCCAAAAGTATGACAGTGTGTAAACGTGGTATTTATCATTTAAACATTAGTTTATTCAAATGACATACTATTACTAAGTATCAAAAAAAAAAAAAAAAAATTTCTCAACTGTTTGTTTTTTATTGTAAAAGCACATAAAAACATGTTTACAGTCATCACTTTGTGTCTGTCAACATTGTTTTCCAATGTGAAGTCGTCTTGTGTGTGTAAAACTTCAAATTATAGTTTTAGTTGCCATAGTATTAGTCAAAAAATGATGACTTGTATTTTTGATGTGGTTTGTTTTAATTTGTCTCTGATATTCACAATCACTGTTTTGATTTGTTCTCCACAGAAAGAACTAAGTATATCACGCCGTGGCAGGTAAGACATTTTTACTTATCGTTTTTTTCATTTTGAAAATGGCTGGAGAGTGACAAATAAGAGTATTGAGGCGTAATATCAGAGTGAATTCTACATGTTTAATAAGAAAATAATTTAGCATGTGTAAAATAAAACAAGCAATGCAGGTTTTGTTAGCTCTCCTTGATGAAAGTTCGGGTGAGCGAATCGATAGGAAGTTGTTTGTTGATTGCAGAGAATATGAATTGTATAAATTCTTTGACCAACAAAGTGATCTTTTGTCACCTTGAAAAATTTTTGTATATTCGAAAAAAAAAGAATAATCACCACAAGCAGTAGGTAATGAAAAATTATGTATGAAATGATAGAGATAGGATAAAAATGGGGAAACTGATTTTGTGCCATCATTTTGGCTTGAAGATTTATGGTTGTCAAAAACTTGCATGATTCATAATCATATTACATGTACATATATGATTTTTTTGCTTTCTATAAACTTATTTGTTTGAACAAATCTTTTCAGTTGTAGAGGAAGAAAAGGTGCTTCTCCAACCTTACCAAGATCACATTCGCCAAACTCCCACGGTAAGTGATTGATTCACCATTAGTGTACTTCACCATTTATCTGGTGTACGGGACAAAATGCCAATAGTAGCTACAGTATTTGCTCCTTTAATAGCACATGTACTTGCATCAATTTTTGGTGTGTGCATGCTTCTAATAGAGTAGGTACAGTATAGAGATTACAATGTCATTCGTATTACCGTACTTGACTGTGTTAGTTCCCAGGGTCCTCGACTCATAAAACCAGGATTTTTTAGGGTTGGGTGCTTACCCGAGCACCCCCCTCGGAAAATAGTGCAACTGACAATTTTAATTCACCAATTTTAATTGTGACAGATTGAGGGGTATATTACGTCTTTGAGGGAAAATAATATTACGAAATTAGGTGCGTCGTCATTGACTATTACCAATGAAGGAACAGAAATGGTCAAATATGTACATTTTATTACAATATTAATTACATACCACCAGAATTTAGGAGATTTAAAATATTTGAGTCTGTTGGAACAGAGTCAAAGTCAAAATCTTCATCATTATCGCCACTGACGAACGTGTCGGATCGTACGCAAACACTCGATAAAAAGCACTTTCCGCCATGATGTATTTGCATTTGACCTGCATTAACGCCCTTTGACCCAATGGGTCAAGTCTGTTATTATCCAATCAAAATGCTGTGTTGTACTGACGCAATTCTTCAGAAATTCCCGAAGATTTTCGGGTAACGCAATGTGGAAGTGAACTATCGATGTCGAAGTATGATCTGTTGGAATTGATTACGGCGAATAAACGACATGGTTTTTTAAAAAAAATGGTAACTAGCAATTTTTATCGGTGAACTGAATACGGCATGAAATCTTTACTGCATTTTACTTTTATTAACAGGTTATTGTTTACGCACGGTTACTGTGGTCTACGCATTCACAACATATTCACGGCAGTCGATATCCATGCTGTGTCATGATATAAAAACGATTACCAGTATTCGTTAAGCAATGATCAAAGACCAAGTTTTAAAATAGTGGCATTTTGAAGGGGTGGGCGCTTTGCCGAATGTGACCCCGAATATAAAATTTGCGCAAAATTGGGGGGTGGGTGCTTGACCGGGCATGGGCGCTAACTCGGTCGAGTACGGTATATGAAATATTATTAAAATCGCTTTTCATGAATCATTATTGACTCCTAGAATTTCTGATGGCTGTATTTGATTTTCACCGTTATTAATACTCTTTGATTTGAAACTGAAAGAAAGATCATTTGGTATCCAAGTGTGATGATAGCATCATTGAGGAAATAATGTACCATACTGTTAATATCACTCATTATTTGCATATTTTATATCAATTATAGGAAGTCCATTAGACAGTCCACGTAATGCATCACCAAGTGGAGTCGCTCACTTTGCTTTTTCATCTGTAAGGAAAGTTGATGGTCGTAGATGGTCATTGGCGTCATTACCATCTTCTGGCTATGGAACCACCACACCCAATTCTACTGTTTCTGTAAGTTAAGACCAAAAATAAAATGATAGTTTCTAGTCAGTGTGTACATCAGTTCAGAAAAATCAATAAATATTGTTAAAATAAAAGAAACGACAAAAAAAAAATTAGTTCATAACACATTTTTATTTCAGTTTTGTTTACTATTTAATTGACAGGAATTGTGTTTGTTTGAAAAAAAGGTAAAAAATGTTTTAGAAAAACACTTAAAAATATGCAAAATTTTGCACATAAACTGTCATCTCAATAATGAATGGAATCAAATCAGCAATAATGCCAGCTACCGGTACTTAGCTACCCATGCAGCTCACTATTGGAATGCATGGTTTGTGTTTGGGTCAATAACCAAGTCCATGGGATGACCACCTGGAACAGTTCAGAATGTGGTAAAAAAAAGGTTAATAATGGAATGGTGATGCCTTCATAGACTACCAGGTGTGATTTTATCAGACAAAATTCATTGTAAAATGAAAGAGAAAAATGTAAATTAATATCAAATCCCCTCTTGAGAATGTTGTGACCCAAAATTACTTTGCACTTGTTTTTGTGAAGATGTACTAGCCAATTAGATGACAGTATTAAGATGAGAGTAAACTGTGGCATATTTTTTATTACAGTCATCTTGTTCAAGTCAAGAAAAGCTTCACCAGTTGCCATACCAACCAACAGATGATGAACTCCAATTGCTGAGTAAACATTTTAGCAGCAGTGAAAGCAATCCTGGAATTGATGATGATGGAAGACGATCACCGTCACTGCGGCCTAGATCTAGAAGTTTAAGGTCATAATACTCATGAAAATACCTTGTCTCATTTCAT